AGGGGGAGGGAGGAAGGAAGGTTTCTGGTTTGTTTTGTTCCCCTCCTCCGGTGGGGTTTTTTTTTGGTTGGGTTTTTTTTTTCTTTTTTCCCGGCAGCTGAAACAGGTTAATCTGTTTTTATTCGTATTTTTGGAAGGGGGAAAAAGTGAAAGTGCCTAAGTGAACTCGAATCAAAAGCTAACACGTCAGATCAGACCAAGGGAAGAGAAAGGCAAGTGGGGAGAAAAAAAAAAAAAGAAGAAGAAAAGAAATAAAGTGATCAATAAATATCAGTTTTGTAATCAAACCCAGAAATGGCTCCGAACTGGGCTCCAGCCCCCTCCCTCCCAACTCTTGCTCTGCACATTACACGGAAGTGCACAAAGTAGCCCAAGACAGGAGAATTTTCCATATTCCTAAAACATGTCGACCAACTCAAAATGGACGCCTCATTTTTTTTTTTTTTTACGTTTTAACTACTGCTTATCTTTTTACTACTAGTACTAAAATCATTCTTTCCCCCGGCAAGACATCTGAGAATCCGACCTCATTTTGAAAACATGCATTTTCTTACTTTACGCTTAGGAAAATGGATGTTATATTCTCTGCTGTCGGTATTTTTCAGCTAACGCAGACACTTTTCGGATGTTTAGATAGTGCATCGTAAAAACAAGAAGAAAAACCAAACACAACTGAATCGATCTGTTCCTTACTTGTTTCTCATTAAGAGCTGCTATTCTTGATTGCCTTTCATGGATTTGTTTCTTAAGATCCCCGTTCTGCAAAAACGGCAATAAGATGCATATTAAAGGCAAAGTGTAAACTAACCCCTGTAATGAATAAACTTGCGATCTAGAAATTGTTCAAAGGCAAAACCATTCCACCAAAGCCGTACGAAAGCATGCACACACAAAACACCCTCCTTAGTAAGAAAGCTCAGTGCAGACTACAAAATGAGATCTCTTACTGATAAAGTTTCTCATCCTGCTGTCCCAGCACAACTGCGCTTATTACAGCAGGGATAAAATACTGAAGAAGAGAAAAAAAAGGATCTGCATTTACCTGTGGATCTTGCTTCATCTGTGCAACTAGTTTCTATAAAAAAAAAAAATCACCCCCAAAAAAGGAGGAATTAGAAACTGTTTCAAGTTTAATGGATTTTTTTAAATGTATGTATGTGTGTGGACGGGGGAGGGAGGGGGGTAAGGAACAAAGAGGCAAGTAAACACTGCGAGTCAGTTTCAAGCAAAGCTCATAAATATTCAAGTCTCGTCCTAATCTCTCCAACACACACACACACACACACTCGCACACACTCACTCACACTCACGCACACGCGTACACACACACACACACACGCTCTCACACAAGCACCGACCGCAACGTTAACTCCGCATCCCCACACCACGCACACACACACACA